AGTGCCAGGCTGGAGTTCTCGACGTCACGGGGTACAATGTCTTCGGGATGTCACTTCCAGGAGTAATGTCGGGTCGCACATGTAGGCTGTTTTGACGTAAAATAATGACCCGAAATGATTCACATGTAATTTGATTACTTGTTGTTGTGAATGGTTACCACAATAAATCCTACAACACAAATTTGACAATGGATGGCCGAAATAAAAAACAACAGTTTAACTGTTTCGAGATACCCCCAGTTTGGGTTAGGTGCCAAATGCAGTGTCATTCGTTGTCGACATACATTCGGACAAAATTTAACCTCTATGTCGCTAAAGCCCAGATCAAGTAAAGTGCCACTAGCAAAAAAATCAGGTTACTTGGATAATATGGTGTGTTTTGAAAAATATGTTCAATTGAAACTAATCTGTCCTCCAAAAATCACTTTCCGCCATTTTGTGTCTTCGAAGAGTTGGTGGTAGCAGATGGTCTCGCGGACAGTCATAATTATGATTTTTCGAAACACGGGAGCACATTAAAAAGTTCATATAATGGCCCAGAACTATCCGATGTCCACTTACGGTGGCAATGGACATGGTGTCACTGGTAAGAGGAACGATACTAGTATTTCGATGAGGTTAGAGTAGCAACTGGCATCGCGTGAATGGTGATCCTGTCGGCGCTGTTAATCGATATCGACTGGATGGTTTCATGAAAGGTTTTTTTCCCCGGCTATATTCTAACAATACAATAGGTTCATCAATCGATCCACCAACTGGGGACCTGGGTTTCATTGGTGTATTATGTATGCATTAATCGGCCGTCACTTTTATTGTATTTTTACACTCCTTTACAGGCCAAGATTCCACGGGCCATAGAGCGCAACAACAGAGTGGTGAAACAACAAGTGCTCGTAACAGTTTCTTCTCACAACTCCCGAGTCGCCAATCTTCAGGCGGACTAGGATCTTATTCAAGCTCGACTAAAAGAAGCACCAAGAAGAAAATGGCACATCGAAGAACGTCGACACGGCGAATGAGTGGTCTCGACATCGAAATGCAAAAGATCGACCCGGACGCCGATCTCAGCGAAATCCACGAACAGCGGGCCAAACAACTACGTGAAATGCCAGCGCCGCTGGGGAAAAAACGTGAACTCAGGTACGTATTGTTTAATACTTTCGCCTATACATTTAAACAAATTATTTAAGCATGTATTAAAAAATTAATTGTTAAAATGTTCAGATATCTCCAAAAATGAAATCAACACAGTGGTAGCTTTACTTAAAACGTAAACTCGTGTTACATACATGTACATCATCAAGCGAATATTTTGCGTTTTCATAGAAAAATGACAGGTTTCAAATATCAAAACATTGACCATCGAAATGTTTTTGGATTACACTTGTCACAGTTACCTTTTTTTGAGATATTTCAGGAAAAAAATTGTCCACAATGTGAATTATTAATGTCCCTGAATCTTCAATGACTCAATTATTCAGTGAATATAGCTCAAGTTATTCTTTTTCATTTCCTGTGTAAGAGAAATAAAACTCATACCATGGAGCTAAAAAGAATGGCCTTACAGAATATAAAACCACATGAAGGTCATTTTCTTTAATCTATTGCTCCAAAATGAAATCCTCATATATTTTACTGGTACTTTGAAAGTGTGTGTTAAAATTTTCAAGGGAATATTATTTATTTGCTTTAGTATAGGTGTTCTTTAGCCTCGTTTAATGATGTTTTAAACCATGATAGCTATCATTTGAGATGCTTGTCGCAATAGAATATATAGACTACTCGACTTAAAGCATAATTACATTCATTTTGAAATAAAAATGAATAATAATTACTCTTATAATTTTAACCCTTAACAAATATTTACAATTTGTTATTTTGATAGTGATCTTGTGAATCGGTGGATCTCACGAAAATATTGTCACTGCTACGAAATGTTGTGATTTTCCTTGAATCTTGAAATTTCCAAAAATTGTGTCTTGTGAGAATATCAAATTAGTATGAATAGTTCTCTTCCATGAATCTTTTTAATAGTGCAGTGCATAATAAATCATTTTTCAATGTAATGGGGATAGCTGGTTCCATGGTTATTCATAGATTTATTTTTACAACTAATGTTGTTAACAAATATGTAAAAAAACAAAAACAATTAGATTGACTATCAATTTCAGCTTCTGTATGCACAAAGTACTCATGGGAAGTAATGAGTTTGTTGTGTCTGTTTTTGTTAGAAAAATCTCAAAAACTTGGGAGCGGCTTTGGATCAAATTTGGTACATTTGATAATACACAGACATGATTAGTTTTGGGGCCATGATCGTGTATATTAAGTAGCTAATTTGCATACTGTTTCATTTCAGCTTATGTAAGTAAAACCTGACTTCTAATGCCTATTGCTCCATCATTTACTGTTCTGAATTTTCATTTTCTAGATATTTTTTATAAAACAACAATGATTGCATATTCTGTGTATTAAATTTGTATATTTAACTTTGATTGAAAACAGAAGCCCCATCATCTAATGCATTGCCATAGAAACCAAGTGTTGAAATAAAATTAATGTAGAAGTGCACTTTAATTAGGTTATACTAATGTTTATTTCGTTTAAATTGATATTTCATCATAATTCATTTCTGCGTTTCTGAATTATTGACATATATTTATAATAGATAAATGTATATACCGTATTTGCTCTATTATATTTCCTATATTTGTATTTATTGTGTGTCTGG